GGGCAACTGTGTACATTACCATGAATTCATTTGTCATTTGATGCTTTGGTGAACATATGCGTAGACTTGGAATCCGTGTCCATTCTTCCCACTTCCCATGGTAAGGACCGAGCATTTCATGATCCTAAAAGGAGCATGCTTGCTCCGTTTCGAGCGTTACGTTCGCACCAGTAAAGTTCTATCATCATGTGTCCTTTCTTACACTTCATGGCATGTGTCTCTCTTGAGTACCCCTGTCCTTTGCTGAATTTGGAGGAACCCCCTCCCCCAACCATTTCTTCCTTATTCGGACTTGTTCGTCCTCAGTGGCCTTATTTGGCATCATTCGTCCTTGTCCCTTTGGCGGGGTGCTAGCCCAAAGAGTTGGCTCAAGCTCCACGTGGAATCAATTCTTCTCCGATGGCGGGCCCTATCATGAAGAACAGCGTGGACCTGAAGCTGGACATGCGGACCTATGGCGATCCAAGCAACCCTTGCGTCATCTCCATCGTGGGCACCGGGGCATCCATGAATTCCATGAACCCCATAGTAGCTTGGCATAGTGGCACGGCGTCTCCGATTCAGAATGACCTTTACATCTTGGGAAGTTCCTGAGAATGTCAATTTCTTTGTGGGCCTTTTTTGTTGATCTTTGGCTTTGAGTTTTCCGCCTCAAGAGATCGGACAGGTTTTGTATGGTGCTCGGTTGCATGTTTAGGTAGAGGGCCTTGCCGAGCGGGGTCTCTTCGTCATCAACTTCAACCCTCGGGATGTTTGCGGAACTGAAGCTTTCCGGCAGTGCGAGGCGCTGGTTCCGGCGGACAAGAACTTGATGCATTGCCGGACATAGTTGAAGCCGTTTTGATTGGCAGACTTACAACTTTTGCCTGTTTGTTTGATTTTCCAGCAAGAAGCTGTCGCTTTTCGCACAGTCTCGTTTGACTACACTCAGGATGGAGGTCATGGGGACCCTCTTCGGTGCAGATGGAAGCTTCAATCTCGAAACGGACTTTTATGTGCCCTACAATTGGTACGATATGGCGGACGATGTTGCGCAGGTCATGGACGCTCAGAAGGTGTCAAAGCCAAGCCTCCCGGTTGCAACCAATGGTGTCCCCTTTTCCCTCGTTTTGGTGGGGTCTCCTTGAAATCAACCAGCAAATTCCGTGTTTCGCGTTAAAATCTCGAGCACATGTTTCGCGGGTGCCTCTTCTTACATGTGATGAACAGCTCATGTTGTTTGTTGGTTTCCTTCCACCTCAACCAACACGTGTTTTTTCTTGTAATTTCCCCCTGAACATAAACCAGCACAACTAGCCCCTTTCTTGCCTTGGGCCCCTGTGAGGCATCATTGGCTTTAGCACCGGTGGCGGCATTGCACAGGTGGCGATGTGTAGGTTGCAAGAGCGCCTCAGCTCTGCCGTCATTTGCAGCTCCGTCTATGACCTGACGCCTTCCGAAAACCCCTTGGAGAACCCAGCCCTGAAAGAAAACATGGCGAAAGTGGCGACCTTGACACCAGAGTCATCCAAGGACACCGCATGTGTGAAAAGTGGGAGGGAGCAGGCTTTATGACACCTGGAAAGGCAAAGCTGAATGAATTGATGCTTCAAGAATGCGGTGTTGGAATTCCCGCGTGTTGTTTGCCGAGAGTGAAGGCATTTGGGCGACCGACCCAGGAAGAACGGGTGGAGATGCACTTGCCGTTCTTCAAGACTCTGTTCGAAGTCTCTGAGGGGGACCCGAGAGAGGACATCCTCAGAAAGGCGACCTGGCTTTCTCGCGCGGGTCAGGGGAGTGTTCGCCACGAAAGTGATCCGGATTTTAATAAAATTTGGGACACTACCCCTCAAAAGTTTTACCAGTTGCAGTTAGATTGGTTTTACAGCTCAAGGGTCAAAGCAGGCCATTTCAATCTTTGTTTGGGGGGGCCAGAAGGCGCACAAAAAATCGTGAGGGCCGTTCGTAGGCCATCGTGGACGACTGCGAGAAGGGCTGGGTGGACGTGTTCGGGGGTATCTGTGCTGCTATTGGGTGACGGATCTTTAGACTTTAACTTTTTGGATTAAGATCATACTTCTGGATTTGGATTTGGATTTTTGCATTCCCCTCATATTTCCTTTTAACCAGCAGAAGTTAAACTTTTTGCTGGGGGATCTGCAACTCCCAAGGTATGAACCCCTTCTCCACGCTGGCCTGGGCCGGTTTCGCCAAAACTCACGAGGAGCACAAGGCGAGGCTCAGGGAGAGCCTCGCATCTCCAGTGCCCCGTTTTTTCCCTTTTGGCTGTGGCTCAAATAAAGGTACCAACATGGCACCTTGGTAGATGGAACCAAGGCCTAAAACCGCGTAACCCTAGCTCTTGAATTTTGAGCCACAGCCTGTTCTTTTGGAGGTGTCGTTAGAACGAAAAACCGGCGACCAAACAACTTGCCAGACCTCCAGTGGTGCTGCGTTCCCCCCGTGTTTTTTTTGGAGGGGGTGCCCTTTGGATTCAGCTACTAAACAAAGGGTGCCCTTGCGTCCCCCTGGGCCACTCGGTGTCTGAGACGGCAGCTGGGGGTCTGAGATCCTTAACTTTTTGCATTTTTGGACATGAGTTCTTCATGTAGCCCGCAAACAATGCCCAGGCAAGTAGAGCTTGGAAACCAACAAGCCAGCCATCTTTCAGAGGAGTGGGGATTGGACTGCTTTTGGGTTCCGTGTGTCTCTTTTGCTTTTTCGCAAATCATTTGTGTTTTTTGTTTTTCTCCTTTTCCTTTTGGCTTTGCCCTTTTTCAATAGACCCTCAGTCGTCGGCCAATAGAGGTCTGTCAGAAGTCCCTCCCCCCCCCCCCCCCCGCATGTTAGGGCCGGGGTCGGGGGGGACTAAGCCTAATGTGGGTCTTTGTCAGGGACCCTGCACCATTGTTAAAGGAGGACTACGACCTACGACTAACCTCTGAAATGAATGCCAATCTTTGGTTTCAAGATCCTTTGGGCAGACAAGGAACAAGGTGCCGTGTCTGGTTGTTGCCGGAAAGAGCGACCCGCTCATACCCTTCCGTGATGTGGAAAAACTGGCGGCAAATACGGGCTCCGCAGCTTTTCTGGCGCACGAGAACGGGCATATTCTGGGCCCGGCGACAAGCAATGCAGAGATGCTGAATGCCATAGCAGACTTTATCCGGAGCAACTCCGCGATGATTGCTTGATTTTCACAGTCACAATCAGGATGGTCCTCTGGGAGTGGGTCAAAAAATGGTACTCAAAATGGAACCCTGGCAAATGGAAACATGGACTCAAACCTGCGGTCCACATCCTGGTGCTTTAATTTTGACCCATGCCCCTTTCTAGACTTCCAGAAAAGTCTGGGCCCCGACTTGCCGACGCACGTGTACAGCTCCACCCAGGGCAGTGTTGAAGAGGCGAGTCCTCAAGCTCATCGCCTGGTAAGGCATCGGCGTCTTGGTCTGGATTGTGGCGGGTTTCTGGATTTGAACCCATGGCTTGGTGATGAAGCCTCGAAGATCCGAACCAGTCTGCGAAAAGGGCAGTCTGGTGGCCCATGTCCGTGGTTTGAGTCTGCGTTCTCTTCAAACATCGGTCTCTTTATACACACACACACACCCAACCAAATGTGTGTGTTTGTGAAATAGGGCACCCCGCAAAAAAAAAGGGCTTGAAAAGACACAGCCCCACGTGTTTCTCTGTTTGTTTGCCTTTTCATGTGGTTTCTCTGAAGGATCTCTGGAATCAGACTGGTTTGTGACTTTGCACCCCAAGTCCTCCTTGGCAGAGGTCCCTTCAAAACGCCCCAGACATGTCCAACAAGATCCTCGAGCCCTTGGGTTGGGGCTCAAATTTGCCAAGCAACCATGGGAATTGAGTCTTCTCGCGTCAAGAAGAAAGAAGACCAAGCGAGGATAAGTCATGCGTGCTCAAAATGAACTAAGCCGACACGCCGATTAAGCAATACCATGTAAGGTCAGAAAGGAGAGCAGTTAACGCACCAAAAAGACCCCCATCCCAAATGGGTTCAGTTCTTAAACCTAGTCGAGGCCGGACAAAAAGGACACCACCTCTGGCTTTGGATGAATGCTGCTGACGCAACCTAAACTTGTGGTGGAAGCTTGTTGTGGAAAATCCGGTGCAATCCACAAGTTTTCTTGGGGAAAGCGGTCATGACTGGGCAGAGTCAGGATATTTGTTGAACTATGCACGTGTATATACATAGAATTTGTGTTTTTTGCATATGATGTATATGTGTATGTGCACATGTATACGTAATATGTATATGTATATGTATATGTATATGTATATGTATATGTATATTTATATTACGCATTGTACATCCCATGGTAGTCAAGGGCTTCCAAATTTGTATCTCTCGGTTTGGACGCAAGGCCCTACTAGTCCCCTGGCCTTTATTGGCGGGTTCAAACTATCCCAGGATTTGTTTTAGTGATCCCACGGTAAGCAACCAAGGAGTGTACCTCTAGATTTGAAATCCACTTCGCACCAGTTGAAAAGACGGATCCCGTTCGAGTTTCTAATGTTTGTGAATGATGCAATCCTTGTGCGAAATACGGGCTCTTGCTTACAGTTGCCAGAAAGCTTAGCCCCAGGAGTATCCCCAACAGCCCCGTTGATTCTCCTGAAGCACTTTGCAGATTCTTCGGATGTCAGAGGCGCAGGCAAAGACCCCACATGAGCAGAGCGGTCAAACGTGTTCTCCCATGTGGTAGATAGTACCCCGCAACCGTGTTCTAAGTATTTAGGCCCCTTGTTGTGCACTCCCGAGTTTGTGGAGATAAAAACGGGAGGACTTTTTTGCATTCCTGAACGGCCAGGTTGGCACTAGCAAACATCAACGGCGTTTTGGGGCGCTGCTTATTTCTACGCTGTTCTTGGCATGTTGCTGCCGTGCTTACCCTGCTTATATATATATATATATGGTTCTCTTCCCATTTTGTTTTGCCTTTCGTTTGTTAAGAAAGGCCTGACGGCAGGGTTGGCAAACCATGCCGGCCTGTTTTCGCCGCGTTTGCTTCGCTTGAAGCATGCGCCGCCTTTCCAGCGGTTCCCAGGGTTTTAACCAAGGGATTACATTGACCCTCAATTTACTGCCCCCACTGTTTCGACGGGCTCCATATTTTTTTCTCACGGGCTCGTCAACCTACACAGGTCCCCCACTTGGCCGTGGAATTTAAGAAGGAACCACCTCGCAATATCACAAGTGGTTGGTGGACCTAAATTCCCATCTACCTGATGCCCACCAAAGGGTCCCCCCTATTAAACATCATACCCATTTCTGAAGTTGCTTGGCGACTCAATAGTCATCCACCGTTTCCGCCCCCCAGCTTAGGCGCTCTTCCGGGACGAGGAGGAGACTTGAGCGGTCGGTCTTGTTGCTGGGTCATGGCCCACAGCTGAGTTTTCCTTGGGCGATGTTGGGTTGGAGATATGGGTATGTACCTTTTTTTTGGGGGGTGGTTTTACCACTTGTTATTTTGGGCTCCCTTATTCTAAGACACCCACACAGTGCCTGGTTCCTTCTACCCATCCAAACCAAGGCTGGGCCAACAAAGGGCTCGGGGTTGTGTCAAGTTCTATGGCCCTTCAATCCTCCTTCTGGTGAAGTGGTCATTTGATGGGAAACCTTGAGCCTTAGACGGTCGATTTTGTTCGACTGAGCAACTCGCTGCTTTTCTCAGACCGAGAAAGATTCAGAAAGCCATGGCAAACAGAGGAGATGGAAACACCCAACCGTTTTTGTTAGGAGCAACAGTATTTTTAGGAGGTCCAAACAAGGAAATTTGAGAGACCCAGGCCCACTCCGCTTGAGCGATTCTGAACATTATGGGTCAACATTTGATATACTTTAATCTTGGCCCCGAACTTTAAAATGATGGTGGCAGACCATTTTTAACTCCCAGGTGTAGGGTTGAACCTTGACTAAAACAGGGACCCTTTTTTGAATGAGCGTTAAAGGACAGCTGAAAGGTACATGCAGCAGTGTCCTCACTATTTCGAGGCACCCGGGAAGCAACAAGCCTCCAGGCCCAAGTTTTGACCGCCCTCGTGGTCAACCCAACATTTGACATGGAGGCGCCTGAGGCGCCCGCCCAAAAACTAACGGTACCCCGAAACTGGGTGGTTCCCATTAAAACCGAAGCCAAAGGGGCTCGCTCCCCCCAAAACACGACACCCAAATCGGCCGAACGAACGAGGACCACGTGCTCGTGAAGGGCTCCAGCTGGGTCTTGGAGCTTGCCTTTGACGACCAGAACTCCCGACGCAGGCGGAGCAGGTAAATACTCAAACCAGCATTTTGGGGACCCCCCCCCGCAAAAAGACACACCCAGCTTTCTTGAAGATGTTGCCGGGTTCTACAAAATATCTAGTTCCCCTTCTTCCCCTGTTTTTTTCAATCAAGACCACTTGGGAACTGGGTGAGGCGGTGCTATCAGGTCACCTGAGGTCTGAGGCGATCCTACGTTTAACGGCCCCAGGGTAAGCCTGGCGCATGGGTCCCTCAACATCCGGCATCGCTCTCTGCAGACCGAAGTCGTTGGATTTGCCAGGCAGGCGAGCGCCCAAAGCTGGTGCAATGCCATCACGGCGCTGGACCAAGAATGGGGCGCGGGCTGCGTTGGACCCTAAAACCCACGTTTGCTGGATAGTTTTTTGGAGGGTTTAGGGCAGATCCGCGGGGTTTTGATGTTGTTTACCCATGGGCTTTGGGACGACCCCTTTTGTGATACCAAGAAGATCCCCGTTGAAGTGATACGGGGCATTGGGATAGCGCACTTTGGTATCACAACTGATATTCCACATGTTCGGATGGGGGAACTTACCAAAGGTCCCAATGCAAACTCCCAATGCGAACCAGAGCGGGGGGCCTCATTGTTCACTTTCCATGTGGTCTTGGGGACACAAGTAGTTTGACCGTGCCTCACATCCGGGAAGCAAATTAATATTGCAACTGGAATCTCAATTGAACTGATTCTGCATTTTGTGTTCCAGCAATATGGACCAGACAATCACATTAAGGCTCACATGTGCGATTTGTATGACTTGCAAAGTGTTCTCGTTGCGTGCGCAAATTGTAGCTTTCGCGACGTTGCGTGCCCTTGCGCTGCGCAGGCGCAGTGCTTAGGAATATTTTTGCGTCGCCGTGCCATCGCACTTTGCGTCTCATTATATCGATAGATTAGGTAGAGAGATAGAAAGAACGAAAGAAGTAAAGAAAGACAGATCGATCAGCCGCTCGGTAGATAGACACATAGTGTAGGCGCGTTACCCCCCCCAAGTCTTGTCTAGTCCTGCAGTCATTTTGTGCTATGTTGCGCTTTTCTGGTCCCAAATCATTTTTCCCCCAGTTGGCAGTTTGGATCGGTGGTGGAGGGGTGTCACGTTTGTTGCTTTTCTGGTCCCAATTCAGGTTACCACCAGTTGGGGGAATTTGGCTTGGGCACAACCCACCCGCACGAGGTCACGGCGCAGCTCTCGGCGCGCACGGCGCAGCAACGGTACGGCGCCTTCGCGCCGGCGCGGCTGCCAGCGCCGCCCAAGGAGCGCGAAGCTCCGAGCCGTGGGCCTGGCTGCGAACCTGGGAATCCGGACCCTGCTACTCAGGGAAGGGACAGTGAGGCCCTTTAAGGAAATGAATTCTGTTAGGGCTATGCTCGGAATCCGGACCCTGCTGAACTCAGGGACGGCTTTCCCTTGAAGGAAATGAAGAATTTCTTGGGCTCCCTTGATTAGTAGGGTCTTCCGGACTGATCCGAACTCAACAGTGGCTTAGCTATAACGGCGGTGGAAAACGCAATGAATCACAGGTTGAGGGCTGAATGTTGACCAAGCTTAGAACTTAAAGGTTATTTATGGCCTACAAGGGAAGCTAAAGGAGGTTTGTTTAATTCAACATTCAATGGTGTTCTGGCCCAACCAAGCACGCTAAAGCAGGTGGCTGGCCCAACCAAGCACGCATGGGTCCTGTGCAAATGCTAACGAGCCCATGCGCCGACGAGAGGTGCGAGCTTAACCCTCCAGCTCTCTGTAGTCCTCCAGCCCTCCAGCCGTCCTCCAACCCTCCAACCCTCCAGCGCTCCAGCCCTTCCAAAAAAGCAGTGCAGCCTTTGCAGCCTCCAGCCGTCCGGAGCCCTTTAGCCTTGCCTTCCAGCTCTCTAGCCCTCCAGCCCGAACATTT